CCTCGCTAAAGAGAACGATCAATATTCCATTATAAACATCATTTCGATTTCTCGTAGACATAGGATGGCGTCAATTTCAATACGTACATTAAATAAAAACAACAGATGGATAATGTATTCGTAATCGTCCGGAAGAATCGACGTAACCGGGCCGTTACATCGCTGCGATGGGATCGCGACAGGAAAGGTAAGCACAATGGTTTGCTTTACTCTTCGCGCGCGTTCGCGATTAAAGTTCCACTTAATTTCGAACGCGATGTGACATCCTACGAAGAAGAGGAGAAACGTCATTAGCGGAACCCGCTCGGGATAAGTCGCTCATCCTCCCCGTCTTATCTCTACCTTCCCCCGCTCGCCCCCGGCTCGTTTATTCAGTTCTCCGTCGTAATTTACAAAACGCCATAGTGTCATCACTTCTTTAACCGTTATCTAATTAAACATCGACCGCGCTGTCGAAGAGGTCGCTCGGATGGGTCTCACGCCGGCCGTTAAACGCACCGTTTTTATCTCCTTTGCTCTCCCCTCTCCCCACCCACCTCCTGCAACCGCCCTCCGCCCCATCGCGAGATAAGATCCGAGTTAATGTGCTCGACACGATAGGGGAACAAATTGCGAGAGCGTAAAAAGCGGAGGACGATGCTTCTTGGAATTAATTATCCACTCTGTTTGATGATACCTTGATTCTTGACAATTCCCCTTTGATCGAACATTAATTAAATGACTAGCATGAACACGTGAATATAATAGGGATAAATAATCGGACATAACCGCGCGAGGCTTTCAAATATATATATATATTTTTTTTTAAACTTCAATGACGCGTACGTATCCAGCTCTCGATTCGCGGGACAAATTTTCCCTTTTCACCGCTTCTTTGGTTGCTTTGGCTCCAAATAAAAAAAATGGGAAATATAATTGCCACGATATCGATCGAATCGGGTGCAGGTAAAGTAAACATTTAATTAAACTCCGCCATACGTCCGATATACGTTCAGCTCGAGGCGGAACGGGAATTTACCGTTCGACAAGCACAACGGATATCCAAGGCTCTGTTCTATTTACGTTTTCAAAAATTTTAATAATTGTCGAAATAAATTTCTCTTTGTGTATTTGAAATTGTAATGAATGCGATCAAATAGTACCATCCCCATTTGTCGCCAACCAAATTAATTCTGGATCGATATAGTTACATAATAAGGATAATAAGATTGTATTTGTAGTAGTAGTAGTAGTAGTAGTAATAGTAGTAGTAATAGTAATAGTATCCAGAATAATGAGCATCCAGTCTTATTATTATTAGTCTTATTATTAGTCTGCTGCGTTTAATAACAACAACATCATCGACTATTTTAGAATCAATTTTTCCTCTGACGGAAACCTCTGAAGGAAACTGTCGAGGCGCCCTATTGTTCCGAGTAATTAGCAATAGGAAATAAAGAGTTTCTCGCGAAATAAACTCCGGGGGAGAAACTAATTGAAAATAATGGATAACAAAACCGTCTATTTAATTAAACTTTATTAATTTTTTTTCCCCCCCAACGAATCTCGCTTTAGCAAAATTTTAATTTTAAATGTTAATGCTCGCGAATCAGTTTAACTAAATTTTAATTTAAATTAACAAACACATAATCACGAAATATAACGATGATTTATATCATCGTTAGTCTTCTATTCTATTAAAACATAAGTGCATCGTTCATACAAACGATGCACTTATGTTTTAATTGTAAACGATTACTCTAGCGTATTTTAATTGTAAGAAACACCGACTACACGTTGGTCAAGAAATTCCGCTCTTACAAAGCACCACGAGAGTGCGAGTGGGTGGGCCAAAAGGTGGGGTGTACAGAGAGAAAAATCCGTGACGTACTCACCAGTCAGTTGCAGCCGTCCTACATTGCTGCTGACGACGGTTTCCTGAGTTAGCCGGTGATGCGTCCTGCACCGATAAGTCATCTGCGCGTCGCTTCGCGTAATATTGATTATCATCAACTCGCCGCTCGGCAGCATATGATATTTGCCATCTATAACAACACGCGCGTATCGGATGGAGGTTGAATTACGTTTCTATCATTATGGAAATCTAAATTGATCGGAAGGAAATTACGTGTTTATACGTGCGCGCACGTAGATGACGTCACGCAATATAACTCCTGTTTTCCAGCGATATAATTAATTTACTACAATACCCAATATTCGTGCGCTCTGTAAAAGGTAACTGTAATTTTAGAATAATTCGATTGCTCCCATCTCGTGCCAAATATAATAGAATAATTCTATATTCAATGTTAGAGCAATTACGCTCGCTCGCTCGCTCGCATTGAGAAACGTCATCAATATATATATAT